AAGGTTGAGCCTAGGGGTTGAGCGCCCGACAGGGCTATCCCCCTTGGTTTTGCCGTAAGCAACGTCAGAACGATATTAGAGGTTCTTTTTCTTTTCTTGTCGTCATGTTCTGACGATGAAAAGTTTCTAAACATTGTTATTATTATTTCTTTGTCGCTATTGTATGACTTTATGCTTTGACTTCCCGTAAGTCGGACGTGACACCGGCCACGGGTGACCGTCGCAGCAATGGAGGACCTTGAGCACGCGCCTCCTTTGGCGGGCCGTCTGGGTTTTCACGTGTTCGAGGTGTTGACGAAATCTCTCTATCCTAAAAAGGAGTTCGACGTGCATGCGAGCCGGTGAGTGGTTAGCCCACGGGCCAGACGAAAGCCTAGGTGGCGGAGCCCTCTGAAGCTTACCGCACGCCACCGACGACCTGTTGTGAGAGGTTTTTGGCGTGGGCGTGCCAGTTCCGGCCCGAAGGATAGTGGGTAAATGCCCGAGTAGGATGGGCAATTTCTGGCAAGGGCCAGCCAATAGCATCTGAGTCGAGCTTCTTCTATAGGCTGGTCACTATGCCCCCACTCCGGTCCCCTCCCTCTATGAACAACAACGGTCTTTGCTCAATGCCACTCGGGGGGGGGGGGGGATCAGTGGCGTACCTCTAAACAGGCGGGCGTCAAACTTCCCTATGGAGGGCTTTCGAACCGCCTGGTAGGCGGTTCCCTCCGAAGCGTCCCGCAGGACAGCTGAAGTTGTTCCGCTACTGACGGAGGCAGCAGTAGGAGATGAAACAAGGCGGGCGGCTGCAGGTATGAGGTGAGTATAGGAAGGGAGACGACTGGGATTGTCGGACAATAGGACCAGGCCATTAAGGTAGCGGGGCAGTAAGTGCACTATTCGACAGACTTGGGTATAGAGACAAAAGACTAGTCGAACCGTCTAGTAACTGGTTCCCTTCGAAGTTTCCCCCAGGATAGCTCGAGCTGTTGAGCAGCATTACCATATAACTGCGGGATCAAGCGCTGCGACGTCGGGGTTGAAGGATTCGGCGATTTCGGCTTCCATAATCGCCATCCTGCTGATCAGTGCCCGTTGCGGTGTCTGGGTTAGCGCAGCGACAAGAGACCGGGGCGAGGTAGAAGAGGGAGCGAATGAATCCGGACTTCAAACCGCGACGGGTACGTGCAGAGTGGAGTCGGAGATGGCCGCTGGGAGGGAGACAGGCGGGGCGCAGCGGGATACGAGCAACTCGCTTGATTCTTCACAAAATCGGGCGAGCAGAGGGATGATTTTGGGGTTTCAGGCTAAGGCAAGACCGATGGCGAAGTTAGTTTTGAAGGATAATTAGTAGAAATAAATTTAATAAAGAAAGAGCCTCCGCGGAGCTATGAAGGTGTGAACGAGCAGAGCAAGATTAGCATGACTCGCTCGCCTCTCGGAGGGAACGAGTGATTGAAGATGGGATTATGGAGTTTCTAGGCTGGGCGAGCTCAAATCTAGTGTTAGTTTAGGTAGAAAGTTAGTAGAATTAGAGTTAGGAAGGAGAAAGGAGCACTACAGAACGAGGAAGCAAGGAGGCAGTAAGCAGGGGCCAAACCTGGACGGTAAGTAGTGCTTCGTGCGTTCGGACAATGGGCGCGAAGGAAAGCAAGCACGACGGGAGCAAGAAAGGACAACTCACTCGATTCTCAGAGGAATCGAGTGAGAAAAGAGACTAAGGTGGGGTTTTAGGGACGGGTGAGTCCGATTTTGAAGTCGGATTTAGCAAAGAGTTAGTACGGAAGGAGAGAGAGAGAGAGAGAATGAGCCGCGCGGAGATATGGAGGAAACTGGCTATGGTGGGGCAGAAAGTAGTGTCTCTCTCCCAATTCGTAATTGAAATCAGGCGAGTAAAAATGTGAAATAGGGGTTTTTGCCCCGGGCGACTTACATGACAGGGTTAGTTTGAGTGATAGGTCAGTAGAATAGAAGATAGAGGAGGAAATTGGTGCGCGAAGCTATGGCAGGGGAAGAGATCGATTGAGTAAAAGATGGGAAATTCTACTCGAGTCCCTGTGGAACCGAGCGAAGGGAGGAGCCCAAGTAGGAGAGTCGAGGTTGGGTGAATCTGATGGCGGTGTTAGATAAAGGTTATAGTAGTGAGTCTTTATGGGTTGCGATGTATGGCTTGCGCGGTGTGAAGGTAGCGCGGGCGCACGGGGCAGAGAAGAGGGTGGCGGAGTGAGCGAAGTTGGTCGGGATTCGAGCCAGGTGCACTTAAATGATTGGAAGGATGGGATCAGAGAAGGGATTTTGACGGATGTGGACGTAGGGACGGGCTGCGTTCGGTTGAAGCAAGAAGGAAAGTAAATAAGGATCAGACATTGTTTCTAAGCAAAGCAGAATGGTGTGGTTGCTGTGTTTATTTTTGAGGGTTTGTCTGTCTAATTTGTGAGGCCAAACATTGTTTCTAAGACGAATGGCTTGGTCTACCTATTTCTTTTAGAGTTTATGATTGAAGTTGGACATTGTTTCTAAGCAAAATGGTCCAACTTTATGCTTTTGTGTGTTTTAAGATAGACTGAAGATTGTTTTTAAGCAGAATGGTTTAGTCCTTTGTTTTGTTCTGAGGGAGGGTTTTTGTGAAAGGCTAAGCATTGTTTCTAAGCAGAATGGCTTAGCCTGAAGCCACACATTATGTGCAAAGCGGATATACATTGGAACTACTTATCTATATTTGCATGTGAACAGACAAGTAGACATTGTTTCTAAGCATAATGGTCTAGCTTAAGCCATATTACTAAAAAGATGTTTAAACAATTCAGGGCGACTAGGCATTGTTTCTAAGCAAAATGGTTCAGTCGCATGCCCAAAAGAAGAGAGAAGTAGTTGTGCAAATTGTTTGTGCATGGCCTAAGGCAGGCTAGTCATTGTTTCTAAGCAGAATGGCCTAGCGTCATACCATATGTAAGATAGGGTAAAGGGTTAATCTTTTGAAGGATCAATGAAGTATCTTATGTGAAAGCAACTAGGGGTTTTGGTGAGAGTACTTATTTGGTGGTATGTGCTTGCTTGTGAGTTGGTTTGAGTTTGTCTATGGATAGGTAGTCGTTCTAGATGCTCACCATGTGCTGAAGCGATAGGAGTTTGTTCAAATTTTGTCTTTCATAGTTAAGTTCATTCAGACTTCATATTTGGCTTTGTATAAATTTTGGAAAGTCACTTTCGTTGGGGGAGGTGTTGCCAAAATTTCTACAAATCTAAGAAGTTAGTCAAATTTATCTTTACCAAATTCAATTTTTGTCCTAGTCATATATTTGACTTAGCCAAAATTTGGGAGGCCTACTTTTATAGGGGAAGTGCTGCCCAATTTTTTACTGAATCAGGGAGTTAGACAAAGGTTGACTTGTGAAGTCAAAATGAGTTTTAGAATTCATATTTAACTTTGTATAAATTTTGGAAAGGCACTTTCGCTAGGGGAAGTGCTGCAAAAATTTCTACAAATCTAAAGAGTTAGTTTAATTTTGCTTTTTGCAAAGATCACTGTTTGTCTTCAAATCATATCTGACTTGGTATAAACCTGGGCAGCTTACTGTTTGTCTGTCCGCCTATCAGTCGCAGCTCAGTCCGGGGAAGTCCGAGACATTCCGGTTGTCAGAGGCAACCACACTCACAAGTACGGGACCCAACACCTGAGTTGACAATTCAAGGCCCCAGTGGAGTAGAAAAGTCTGGCAGCAACCAAACATCTACGCAATATGCTTTCGTGTTGATGTAGAAGCGTTGTTTGGGTCTTCTGGGTTACTACAGCGGATGAACAGCGCAATATAGCTCGAGTGAGAGATAGAGTGAGAGTGAAGCGACCGGAGGCATTCAGAAAGGCAGAGTGCAGGGCCTGTGTGAGCATAGTGTAGGAAGAGAGAGAACAGCGAGTGAGAGAAGAGTCTTACCGTACGTTGTATGTGAGCGACCATAGCTGCAAGCTTGAAGAAGACAATTGTGTTTACTTGCGTTGATTTGCGAATTTGAGTAGAAATGTACAGCAGCGACCAAACATCAACACAATTTGCTTCCTTGTTGGATGCAGAAGCGCTGTTTCGGTCTTGTGTGTTACAACAGCGGATGAGCAGCGTAGTGTAGCTTGAGTGAGAGATAGAGAGAGAGAGAGTGAAGCGACTAGAAGGCATTCAGGAAGTTAGAGTGCAGGGCCTGTGTGAGCATAGAGTAGGAAGAGAGAGTACAGTGCGTGAGAGAAGAGACTTACCGTATGTTGTATGCAAGCAGCCATAGCTGCAAGCTTGAAGAAGACAATACTGTTTACTTGCGTTGATTTGTAAATACTACTTTTGAGTCCATATCACATGTTTGTTTCGTTTGTGTTCGGACTTGTGTAAGAATCATGTGAAAGTGTGCAATGCATTTAATGTCAATTGAAAACAAAGAAAAAGAAGACCAAAAAGTTGAAAAAGTAGCACTTCTTAACAGGGCAAAATTCCCAGGCCGCTGGCAAGGCCTAGTTGCTCAGATTTCCAGTTGGCTTTGGCTGCCTGCTTGGCATTCCCAATCCTTAGAGTTGAGAGCAAAATTAATCCTTAGTATTCCTTACCAATGGCAGCAAGGGGCTCATTAGTAATAATTATGTAAACTGTGATTGCTATAATAACTATAGCTGCATAGCATTGATGTCAGAGGATAAGTAATTATGATAATGAAAATCAATTTAAAACAAAAACGAAATAGAGGAATGGACATATGCAAACAACGAAGCAGATTTGTTCCCTTGCATTCCAAAGTGTTACCGACACTGATCACATCTTTGCTGTGAGTGACGGCACGACAGGCTGACCTGTGTGCTAATGTTTGGCTGTGCCATTATTGGGTTGCCAAATTCCTTCAAATGCTGTACAAAGGACCAGCCAGATGGCCTTGAATACCCAGCTGTCGAGTCCAATTGGAAGATTGCTTAGGAGGATGGGAGTGAATTCCCATCCTGGTTTTCATGATGTCCTGACCTCTTTTTGTTCGTTCATTTTCAGGTCTGTTGGGAAAACTGCTATGAACGAGAGGTCCTCGAGAAGCCACTGCGTTTTCACATTGAGAATCACGGGTGTGAATGATGTGAGTTCCTCAAACAAGCACCATGTGCTAACATAGTGAATGAGATTGTCCCAATTCTGTTCACCAGAATTAAGTGCTTCGAAATCAATCCTGCCATGAAGTTCTAAGTGTGTAACCATGCCCAATGCCCATTACTGACCAGATCAGAACTGAATAAACTCTCTTATTAGGCATCACATATGGAAATCCTTCAGACATAGCTGCTTTTGGAAAGGCCAAGAGACATCTGCCTTGCAATTTTTTTGCATTGTCAAATGTAGGTGGTCGATATGTGCAGAAAGCTTACATTGTGATATTTTGTTTCCGATTCACCACTCAGATTTATTGAACTTCTCGATCTGCTTTGCAGGGCACAGAACAGCAGGTCAATGGAGTCCTCAATCTGATTGACCTTGCTGGAAGTGAGCGGCTGTCAAGAAGTGGTGCCACTGGTGAGCGATTGAAAGAAACTCAGGTGAGGTTCTTCATGTAGCTGAAGGTCGACGTCAAGGTGACTTTACGTGTTTGGGCATGTCAAATCACCACAGGTGGTGAACATATATATATGGGAAGCTTCGCCATAAATGGCATCCAAGCAATATCATTACAATATGCTATAGCCAAGTGGGCCTGGGGCACCTCGTCATGTGCTGAGTTTTGCCTTTTCATGTGTGCTGTGGGCCTTTAGATCTTTGTGCTGGTGGCAGGGATTCAATCTTGGTGTGTTCCGAAGGCTTTCCTTCCCAGTGTTTGTCATTGTATTTGCAAAAGGGACACTTGTCCGTTTTTGCTGGGAGCCATCCCAGTGTTTGTCATCACATTCACAAAAGGGGCACTTGTCCCTGTGAGTCCACGATCGGCGGTGATCTTGGATTGCAGCCGTTCATCCGATCCTATTGAACGGGCTGTCCTTCAAGAGCGATGTTGTTTGTTGCTTTTCCATGTCAGACATGTCAGAGGGCGTTGCTCTTCTCTTTTTATTTGTCGCGTTCTGATCTCTCTAGGATCCAGGAGCGGGGTTTCAAACCCCGTTTTTTTTTCCGTTTCCGCATCGTATGCATGCACTTGAACTGCAGATGTTTTTGTGCACCGTGCTTGTTTTTTCCTTTTGCGTTTGGGCAGCCACTGTCGCCAGGGCTTTGGCAGCAGCTTTCCGTTGCACGTTGCTACCGCCTGAGCGTCTTGTTTGGCCCGGGCTTGGGCGGCGGCCATGGCCACAAAAGACCTGAGTGAAAAGCCCCGAGCGGCCAAAGAAAAGACCAGCGCGGAAAAAGCCCCACAGCTCTGGCAATGGGCTGGGCCAAAAAAACACCTGCCGCAAAGGAGCTGTGCGAAAAGCTCCAAGTGCGCCCATGCACCCACTCACAAACACCTGCATGAGCCTGCTTTTGACCCAGTTATTGGAAGCTGGGGTTTGAGCCAAGGCACATATCTTGAAATACCAACAGACAGATGACACAGCCATGGAGGTAGACGGGGTCCCTGTCTCAGTTTGGGGAGCCCTTCAACCTGAGCCTATCCCAGGAACGCCTTTTGAGTTCCTTTCCCCCCCCACCCCCCCTAAACCACCAGCACCTCACCCAAGCAAACTTGAGAATTGAAATCGCGTCAATCCAGGTTCTTCTGATGAAATGTGCTATCAGACCATAATTGCTGGTGGCGCCAGCAAGAAAAGAAAAAAGTGCACTGCCGGTGGCTCGTTTTCAGGGCAAAGCCGCATCGGGAATAAGAGTCTCAGAGGTACTGGTGGTTCTCGAGCTGTTCTTTATTGTGACAAGTCGGACCCGCCGCGGTGAAGCCACGGCTGAGAAGCGGAGAAGAGATAAACCGGCAAAGGCGGGCCAAGTCATGCGGGGAGGGCAGCCACGATGGAGCCGTGGGCGTGGCGAGGCGGCGGAATGGACAGGGTTGAAAGTAAACCAAGGGTCCCTCTCATGTATTCAGCACACAGCCGGGAAAAAAAAAAGAAAGGAAAAAAAGGAAAAAAAGAGAGAAAGACCAACCGCCAAAGCAAAGCTATCGAGAGATTTGTTAGCTCTTGGATTGAATAGGACTTATTATACGCCTTAGGTTTTGTGTTTTTGTTTGGGAACGGATAGCTAAAAAATCACAAGCTTCATATAATAAGTTAGATGTCTGTATAAGGTCAATTATATGAACTCCTTGACGTTGATTACTGTGGTCGGGGCTCTGCTTGGCCGGAGAGCCTTGCTCAGCTCGGGAAACGCTGGGCCCGGTTCCCAGCATATAATAATAATTGTCGTTCTGTTAGAAAAGAAAGGGAAAAAAAAGAAGAAAATTTCAAAGAACAAGTGGACCCGCCGCAGCGGACGTTTGTGAAACAACCCAGCCATCAGTTGGACCCCATCTTTGCTATGTACCCGTACGGGACGCTGCCCAACTTTGCAAAATGCCCCGGCAGTTGCCAAGTGTTCGTAGGTGCAATTGCAAAAGGCCGAGCAAATTTACACACCCACCTGACAGGGGCATAACACAAACATGTCAGCCCAAAAGGTCATTCCACAACTTATGGGGGTATTTGGAAAGTTACCTCCCCCCCACAAAAAGAAGGAGACTCTCTCTCTCTCTCTCTCTCTCTCTCTCTCTCTCTCTCTCTCTCTCTCTCTCTCTCTCTCTCTCTCTCTTTTGCCCACCTCCTTCCCCTTGTGCGACCTCGCAACCTCCTCGTCCTCCCTGGTGGCCCCCTCCTCCCGCTGGCACAAACTCCTCCACCTAGCACAACCTCCTCCTCCCACCGCTGCGACCTCCTCCCCCTTCCGCACGACCTCCTGCAACCCCTCGTCTGCATTGCGCGACCTCCTCCTGCCCCTCCCACGATTCCTCCTCCGGTTTGCACGACCCACTCCTCCCCCTCCTCGGACCTCCTCCCCCTTGTTCGACCTCCTCCTCCCCCTCGCACGACCTCCTCCCCGTCCTTGCACGACATGCTCTTCCCCTCGCAGATTGTGTTCGGACCTCCTCCTCCCCCTAACAGCGGCCAAGGCATCAGCACGTCGTCGGATGATTTGTAAATTAGAACTATTTTATTGTTGGCACCGCTGGATTCGAACTTTTCGCCGTGTCTACCCCCGCGCACATTGTGTTCGGACCTCCTCCCCCTCACATCGGCCAAGGCATCAGCACGCTGGCGGATGCTTTGTAAATTGGAATTGTTTTATTGTTGTTGTTGTTGTTGTTGTTTTTTATTATTATTATTTTTTTTTTAAGGCTAATTCTTTCAGCCCAACCAATTCAATTACCTGTCAAATCTGGACAGCACGGCCTTTCAGGCCTTTTTTATTGTCATTATAGTATTACGTGCTCAAGCCTCCAACGAGGGAACATGCGGGAGCTGCACCCACCAGCAGGATCGATACCTGCCTGCTACAGCAGGTAGACGATACCGGCCAGGGGTCAGCCGGTAGCATCAGGACCGAGCTTCTTCGATGGGCCAGTCACTGTGCCTCCCCTCCGGTCCCCTCCCCCTATGAACATTAGCAGTCTCTGATCAATGCCACTTGGGGGGACCAACGGCATATCTCTAGGTGGCGGGCGCCAAGCTTGCCCAGGAAGGTACATGAGGCCAATGGGGATTGAACCCAAGACCTCCTGAATGCCACTTGCGTGCCTTACCAACTGAGCTAGGCCGCTGGATCAATACTGTTTTATTGTGGTTGCCGCTGGATCAATACTGTTTTATTGTGTTTGCCGCTGGATTCGAAGTCAATTCAACAGTTTCATGTGTGCATCAACTGAGCAACCTGCCATAGTGCAAAATGAGGAATCTTCTGCAAGAACATAGGAAGATACACTGCGACGGACACACACAAGGAGCTGTCAGATGCAAACTACATGTATGTGTGTGTGTGTGTGTGTGTGTGTGTGTGAGAGAGAGAGAGAGAGGGTACTTCCATCGATAGGATGAGCAAAATCGAACGAATCTACCGCTAGAACATGGAAATGTACACTGCCACACTTATGTATGTGTGTGTGTGTGTGTGTNCACAGAGTGAAAGCACCTGCTGGAAATCGGGTCCAGCGTCCCATACACAGAGTGAAAACACAGACTAAAATTAGGGAGAATCCTGCCAGCATTGATTGCTCTGGGACCCAGAGGATTAACTGAGCAGGTTGTGTCAGAACAGGGAGGAGCCTCTTCACCCCATGTCGGGCGCCAGATCACTGCGTATACAAACTGGTCCCTCCCTTGCATTTGCAGTCTTGCTTACTCTGCTCCGTACCATTGCATGTCCACCACAGCCAGCTGATGAGGGGGAAAGGGGTCGGGGAAGTCCGCAGAAGGCCGTAACGGGACCTCTTGGCCCACCGTTGTCCAATCTTTAAAACAAAGCTGGTAGTCCTTCCTGATCGGATCCCGGTTCCCGACTTGGTTGTCCCCTTCGCCTTCCGGGATTTTGCCGCCCTCCCATGTGATGGAGGCAATTCGGCCGCCATTCTCGCCGCCCAACCAGTCCCCCGAGAATTTTTGGATTGTTTGTTTGATTTCATTCCTTGTTTGGCACAGATCTAGCTGGCCCTTAACCTTCTGCCATTGCGTCATTAGTTCTTGCTGTATAAATTGTCTGATCATGTCCGTCATTTCCTCCCCCGCTATACGGACGCCCTCCAAAGTGTGTATGCAGCGTCTTCTCCAGATCGCCCACATAACCGCCCTCCTCCCTATTCTAAACATGTTCTCCTCAAAGGTACTAAGTGTGGGGGAGGTCCATGTCTCACACAGTATCGCCCTCCAGTCCCATGGCCARTTCGTTTTGGTGTCCAGCAGACGCCAAATTCTGTCCCACCATCGCCATGTGAGAACGGACCCCGGGCATTGCAGGAAAATATGTTCTATGGTTTCCGGAATCCTCCGGGAGGGGAACRCCATGTGACACGACTTGCACCRTGGGAGGGCAAGCCCTCTTTGTTCCAAATAGGTGCGATCTATTAACCAGTCATTGGTGGGGAGGCAGCGGTGTTCTATCTGCCACTGCAGCGAAGCTAGCTTCGCAGGTTTGGCCCTTGTAAGGGAAAACCATCGGATAGGGCGAATCACTTCAGCCCCAACATTCAAGTGGGACCTCCAACGGGTTTTTACTATATCCTTCAGATTTACCCTAGGGCGCAGCAATCGAYAAGTAGCCTTCWCAGTCAGGYCGTGGAGCTCCCGGCTCCGTGATCTCGGGGATCTGCGCGGGGAGGGCCATTTCCACTCCTCCGGATCGAAAGGGAGGTCCACGATGCAGGTCCCCGGCTGGTATGCTATGCAGTCCTCCTTATCACACAGAACCCGGATCCTACTCAGATCAGAGTTTCGGCACCATCTCGGCGCGGCTGGGGCCCGTTCAGTTAATCTGTTGTCATTTCCTTTGTGAAAGAGATTAATCAGCGATTTGTCCGTGCGTGTTTCCACTACCTTTCCCACACACTCTGGCTCTCCGGGGGTCATTACCCAGTCCCCAGTCTTCAAATTGG